AATAATATATAAGAATCTACTTAACCTATCCCTAACTAATAAGGGTGTTAAATAGATAGAGATGCTGCCTAAATTTGTTACAACCCTAAAGTAGGCGTTTAAGACGTTTAACTCTTTTTAGTACTACGCAGGACTTAGCACCCTAATTAAGTAATATTTTAGTATGTAGAATTATAAATATAAAGGGGTTGCTACTATCTATCCTGTCCCTAACACCTAATATAATAGACTTAACTAGAGTATCTATATCTATTTTAAGGAAGAAAATATAGATAAATCTATCCTAAAGCTTACTACTAGTAATTATATTTAATTAGACTTTAATAATTTCTAAGATATAGTCTCCCTAGCTATATAGAATAGGAGAGTAGTCCCCCTATGTCTAGCTATAGGAATAGGTTAGGTTTATATTATTACCTATTGCCCTTATAATAAAGAGAGTAGCAGCCTAGCAGATTAAAAGCAATAAGCATCCCTAATAATTTAGTAAATAGGACGCTTATTATAGGAAAAGCTTTAAGCTTAGGTATAGCTCTAATACACTATACTAATTATAGTCTTAGTATAAGGTAAGGATAAGGAATATAAGAGACTAATAAATAACCTTGTAAGTATAATAGTCCTACGTAAATTAGTTCTATTATTTAGGAGTAAGGAGGAGGTCCTAACCTAGTTCTATAATATACTTCTATATAAAGACTATTAATACTACTAAGCTTTAAGCTTATATAATTGCCTAGCACTAGGTACTATAAATAAGTTCTAGGAATAGCTATTCTCTATTTTAAAGCATTATTAGCAGAACCTAGTAAGGATATAGAGGGATAATAGATTGCGTATAAAGATAGCAATCCTCTTAGAAATCTCTAGGTTAGGCAAGATATTTACTAGTATTATGATGCTCCTTAGATATACCCTTATAATAAAGGTTAATTCTTATAAGCAAATATAATAGGACTTAGAGTACATAGCGTATATAACTAAGTAGCCTATTATAGTACCTAACGCTACTAAGGAGGTAGGATAAGATAACTAGGTAGTATAGGGCGACCCTAAGGCCAGGGAAATCTAGGATAATACTAATACTAAAGGTTAATAGGATAATAGAATAATTACAGGTAAGGACGACAAGTAGATTGCTTAATAGGATAGCACTAAGGATCTAGGCAAGTTAGAGGTTATAGATATACTTAGAGACAATAATAAATTAGGGCATAATTTAGACACATTAAAGCATTTATCCTACGCTAGAATCCTAATCTAGAATAATGTTAACAATATAATTATTAATAGTAATTTAATAATTAAGCTACTAACTATAAGGTATAATAATAGTAACCTTAATAGATAGGAGCTAGGTAGGGTAACCTACTATTTAGTATAGAATAAGATAGTAGACTATAATTATAAGACCTTTTTATCTATTATAACTAAATACTATAAGGATATAGGACTAGCTAAAAAAATAGTAGTCTACTACTATTTAAAGCCTTCTAAACTAAAAGCCCTAACTACTATATTAGACCTAGGATTTAGGGAGGATAGATTAGGTCTTCCTCTATTCTATTAGGAACACTAAGACTCTAAAGGTTAGTCTAATATTAATATCCTTAACTATTACCTATAACACTTCTAAAACTAATACACAGGTATTACAGATAAACACTTTAATATAGTAGAGGGTTCTATCGCATACTACCTATATTAGCTAGCTAGAATAGATAGAATGCCCCTATTAGAAGAGGTCCTAGGTACCTAGTTAGGGGATAAGTTAGACTTTATTATAGATAAACTAAAAGATATCTAAATAGTAATAACTAATATAGATACTACACGTTAGCTAAGCAAGGAAGCTAGGAAGGGTATTAAGACTACTTTTAATAAAGGTTAGCAGGTTATTATATAATTAGTAGTAGTAGTATATTATACTACCTTAGTTATAAATATATATAGATTTTAGATTATCTAATAGGCTTATATAGTTGCCTAAAAGAAAGTAGCTAGGCTACTTC